GGACCGGCGACACGCCCGCGGTCTCGCTGGCCGGGCGCACCCGGCAGGTGGCCTTCCAGGTGGCGGTGCGGACCTCCCGGCTGGCGCCGAAAGAGCGCAGGTCTCGGCGCGCGGCCCGGGGATTTCGGGATCCGTCGGCGTCGTACCTCCCCGTTTTATTTTTGGGAATACTCGGCGGTAGGGCCGCGTTGGGGACGCGGACTCCAGCTGCGCTAGGCGCCGCGTCGGAGCGGGGTGCGCGCAACGCTCCGAGGGCGCGCGGTCGCCTTTCCAGGGACTGGAGCAGCCGCGGCGCGGCCGGGCCGAGTTTTGAGTGTACGTGTGTGCGTGTGTGCGTGCGTGTGTGTGTGTGCGTGTGTGTGTGTGTGTGTGTGTGTGTGTAGGGAGAGACAGGGGGAGAGAGAGAAGGGGAGAGAGAGGAGAGAGAGAAGGGGAGAGAGGGGGAGAGAAGGGGGGAGAGAGAGAAGGAGAGAGAGGAGGGGGGCAGAGAGACAAGGGAAGAGAGAGGAGAGAGAAAAAGAGAGGGAAAGAGAGAGAAAGAGAGGGAGGGGGAGGGGGGAGAGAGAGAGAGAGAGAGAGAGAGAGAGAGAGAGAGAGAGAGAGACTGAGACTCTGACTCCAACTTCAACTCTTGGCTGGGCTGCACAGCTGCAGTCAGTCTCGCCCACTCCTCGCCCACCCCTCTCCTTTGCCCTCCTAGACAGCCCGCACCCGCCTGGGAAAGAAGCAAGGGGGTAGTAACCAGAGAACCAGTAGAGGGAGGGAAAACCAGTAGGGGGAGGAAGAGAGGAGTAGGGAGTAGAGTAGGGGAGACTGGGGAGAGGAAGGGAAGGAGAGGGCGGGACTTTTAAAACATCTCTTTAGGAGCAGTGGCTAAATGCGGGCCAGCAAGAGGGTAGAGAAAAATAGAAGAGCTTCTTCCTGGCTCTTTTTTCCTTCTGATTCCACGGAATCACGATGTGAACACCATCCTCGCTTCCCCTCGTGGGTCTCTCCTGGCCGAGGCTGTGGACTTCTGCACCCGCACCCTGTTGCCACAGCAGCGTCTCTCCTAGGGCTCACCCGGGCCAGCTCCCCTCTCCCCGCATCCTCCTCTTCCCCGAGGAGAGAAATGTATTCGAGTCGAGTCAATTCCATGTTAGAAACAAATAAGGAAAAAGCAACACACACCACGGCCCACCCAGCTTCCAACAGTCCCTCAAGAGGTTCTCCTGCAAAATGTGCAGTGATGATGCGCATGCACAAGAGTGTGGGGAAGATACTCTGTGCAGGCTCTCAGAGTCCCTAGCTCTAACATTCTTCCTAACTCCTTTTCCTTTATGCTCTACCATGGAGAGTAAACTACCAGTCAACATTACCCCACACTCAGCATGCCCCAGCCACTCCTTATTCTTTCTGTTTCATAAATATTATCAAGTAATTTTCACAAGAAAACCCATTTTACAGAGAAGGAAACTGAGGCAAAAGAACCATGCCAACTGAGTTCCAAATCCAGGGAGTGTGACTTCTGGCCTCAGATCATGCACTAGGAATAATGAAATTAACACGGAAACTGCAGTTTCAATGTAAATGCTCCTAGCACAATTCCTGGCCAGGCGCAGTAAACCCCCTGCATCAATGTCTGCTGCAGACATCTGTGCCCTCTGTGAGACCATGGAGTTTACTGAAGGAAAAACAGGCTCCCAGGTCACAGAGTCTCCAAATCTGAGCCTCTTCTTTGATGGTGAATAACAACGCATTCCTCCTAGAGTTTGGTTTGGATGACATTAGAGAGAAGTGCTCGAGTGACTGGCGTCCTGACCCGCCTTTAGTGGGGCTCAATCCCTTTCGATCTCAAATTGATCCCAAATGCAGACTGCGTTCTCCCTGCCTGGTGGCTTCTCAACCCTCTGTGGTTTGGATTTTGCCCTCAGCCACCCTGGGAACTGTTCTGCAGATAATAACACACACTACAAGAGTCGTTGTGAGGATTGAATGGGATCGTGTGTTTGATCTTTGCCTGGCATAAAGAACATAATGGCTTTTGTGATTAATAATGAAGACCTAATTGCAAAATTCAGTAGGCCCTGGAAACTCTCCTCTCTGATTTTTCCCTGTGAATCTCTGGTTGTTTTTCCATTCCTTTCTGCTCTCTCTCAGTTCTGTGAGCTGCCTCCTCTTTCTGGGCTTGTCTCAAAGGTCCTCACATCTTTGTGCTCTGCCTAGCAGAAAGCCAAATCAAGAAGGAAGTTCTTCTGTGCTCTTGCTGTTTTGGTGGTCAGCTCTGACCTTTATAGATGTGGTTCTGGGTCTCCTCTGCCCTAGTTCTCACTGCCAGGAGTTCATTCTCTTCCCCTTTTAAACCGTCCTGGAGACTTTCCTCCCTTTGGCCTCAGTGCATATTTCTGTGGCAACGCTTGTCACTCAGTCTTTGACATAATTCATCTGTAGGTGCTGAGGACCTCCCGTATGGCTCTGGTGCTACCTTCCTCTCTTCCTACAGTGTGTACCTTCCTTTCTCTGCACCTCCATACTCTTATTTAAGCCACAAGTGTAAAATAATAGTTCTGTCTCTCCACATTGTGGTGGAGAATAGTTGAATAGTCTGTATCAAGAGATCAGCACAGAGCCTAGCATGTAGTAAATGCTTGAGAAGAGTCAGCTGAGACCTACGAAAGGTGCTTGTCTTCTTTTCATCCAAAGCAGAGATCAAGCCATAATTATCTCTGTATTTTGATGAGTAGCTATTATGTGCAGAATAAGCAAGGGAACAAGGGGGCGGGAGATTAGCAGGTAGAATAATCTGTAGCAGGACTTTTGGGTATAGTTGCAAGACCAGGTTAGAGTATTGAATTTGGAAGCAGCAAATGGGAAAACTCTCATAGGAGCCAGATTTTGGACTTAAAATGGCTCATTTCAACCCATATATGCCCAGTAGAGGGAACAATGGATAGAACGGCTGAAGTCAGAAGCAGCACGTCCGTCCAGCAATGACAAAACACTGGCATCCCTGCCAGACTCTGGGAGTGGCCTCTTGAGGAACTGAACTGAAAGCAAAATGAATTGGAAAACAACAACAACAATAACAAAAACAGTTGTCTCATCAGAACACTTGGAGATACTTTCTTGTGATGTTTCAAGACAGTTGCAAGTATTTCTTTTATTAGAGGCTCCAGAATCCCCACATCTGGATGAATCACGTTGTTCCTGAATGCTGGCTTCTTTAGACGCCTCCTTCCACAACGAAGAACTCACATAATTCATAATCCTGCTGAGAATCTGGTTTCCTTGATGTTTGGAGGATTCACAACTTTTTAAAAAGAGAAGCTGAGTTAACATATTGGCAGTACAAATGCCTTGTATCTATTTATCTGTTAGGTCAAATTAATTATTAAAAGTTACTTTCATTGTAAAATAACAGGACTTTTCTATTTTATTTTAGACTGTGAGTGCTACTGTGATAGCCAACTGCTGAATCAGAGGACATTAATTAGTCTCTTTTCCTAAACACAAAGAGAGTTTAAGAAAGACATTTCTAGAATTGAAAACAACAGCAAACAACAGCTTGGGATTTTAGTGAATTGTTTGAGTTGAGCTCTCCTTTTGTCTACAAAGTCCTACATGTGTATCATGGATATGAGTGTAGGATGTTTCTTAGCATTATGGAACATTATATATATTTGTTTTCTAAAAAATTCCTGTCAACAATTATTAGGAATACTTACATAAGGCTCTATTAGTTGTGGGGTTCAGGGTCTTTCATATCTTAAAAAAAAACATTATTCCTGTCTTTCAGTCACTCTAGATATTTAGTGTCTAATGTATTCTTGACACTTTATTTAGTGTTGAGAATACAAAGGTGAAATAAAGTGGTCACTGTCTTCTGAAAGCTTAGTTTACTGGGGAGATAGGAATATTACCACTTAATACACCTTAGAATAAGTTTGTCTGACTCAGTCAGACAAACAGGCATGCATGAAAGAGCTGATAGTTAAACTAAGATTTAAAAGTAGAGAAGATTGTTTCCCAGGGGTGGCTTGGGTAGAATATTCCAGGCAGAGGAGGACTATCACCTACACAAGCCTGGGGGAAGCCCTTTGTCAAACTTCATACCACCCTTTGTCCCCATTTATTTCCTCAGCAAACTCACTTGAGTTCTGTGCTTTTATTTGTATATCAGAAAACGAACAAATATTTCCTTTTTTTTCATGAATGGGCAAAAGTTTATTTTAGAATTTGATTTTTCTATTTTTCCAGTCCACAGAGGCAGAGTTTGACTGGGGGTTTGGGGGAAAGCTAAATAAGTAATTATCAGCAAAAGTGTCATTTCAGGGTGTTTGGCAAGTCTTTATTATTATTATTTTAAAGATATGGGGCACAATTCAGGGCTAGGTACATAAGTGGTCATCATGCAGGTAAAGTTTGGGTACCTTTATTGATGTTGTGTGTTCACCCTCCCTCCCCTGGCAGCGTCCCACTACTGCCAATCCCTTTCTTATAGTATTATGATAAATGTTCAGAGTCTGCTTATGAGTGAGTACATGTAGAACTCAGTTCTTTGTTTCTGTGATAGATCACTTAGTATTATAGACTCTAAATCCATCCGAGTTGCTGTGAACTTCTCTATAGTATTTCAGCCTCCTACATATGGTAAAACATAAATGTCCTGCTGGCATCATAAATTCAGCATCTCAAGTGGAAGTGATCCTCTACCCACATCATACTCTTGGCTCCTAAACTTTTGTGAGTGGTATCCTTCCCCTTCCAGTCAACCAGGTTCCAGGTTTAGACTTGTACTCTTCTTCTCCTTCTTCCCATATCGAATTACTTGCCAAGTCACGCAGGGGCTATCTCTTTGAAATTTCTCCCATCAGTTCTCTTTATTCTATTGCAATCTCTCTCATTTGGTTACTAATTCCTTTCGTCCAAATTAATTTTTTAGTCTCCTAAATAGTATCCCATTCTTCCCCCCAGCAATTGAACTTGATTTCCGTTGCTGTGAAACAAATTTCCATAAACTTAGAGGCTGAAAAACAAGCCCACGTGTCATCTCACAGTTCTGTGGGTCAGAGGTCCAGGTGGACTCACTTGGGTTCTTTACTCAGGGTCTCCCGTCCAAGGTGTGGGCCAGGTGATGTTCTTATCTGCAGGCTCTGGGTAGAAGTCCTCTTTCAGGCTCATTCAGGTCTTGGCAGAGTCCAGTTCCTTAAGCATAGTGGTAGGACTAAAGTCTCATCCTGCTGGCTGTTAGCAAGGAGTCACTCATCACTTCTGGGTCCTGTTCCTCTCCATCTTCATGCCAGCAGAGAAGATTTATTTCCATGTTTTCTATACAGTGCTTCCAATCTCTTTCTACAGAAAGGACTCCTGTCTTTGTAGAGAGCTTGCCTGAGGTCAGGCCTACCAAGAATAACCTTCTGTTCTAAATTTTAAAAAATTTAGAGAGGGTTGTCTTGCTCTATCACCCTGACTGGAGTGCCATGGTACAATCATAGCTTACTGCCACCTCGAAACTCCTAGGTTCAACTCCCATCTCAGTCTCCCAAGTGGCTGGGATTACAGTAGCTCATTAAAAAAAAATTAGAGATGGGGTATCTGGTTATGTTACCTATGCTGGTCTTGAACTCCTGGTCTTAAGAGGTTCGCCTGGCTCAGCCTCCGAGTAACTGAGATTACAGGCTTGAGCCTTGATTGGCTGATAACCTTATGTTCTCAAAGTGAGTTTTGCCATTTAGCATAAGTGAATCACCTGAGTGACATCCCATCCTATCCATGGCTTCCTCCCACATTCAAAGTGGAGGGGACTATATGCGATCAGGGGTCATTGGGATCCTGCCTACCATAGTAAGTATGTAAGTACTGCTCCCAAAACTTAGCCCATTGATGTTATCAACTTCCTCAAAAAACGAGTAGCTTCCCATTACCAACTAAATACTTACACACACACACACACACACACACACACACACACACACACACACACACCCTTACTTTGGTAATCACTGCTTTCTACAGTTTGTCCTCAACCTAGTTTCCTGGTGTTTCTCTCTCTCTTCTCACACCTTCCCACCAAACACACAATATGGTTCATTCCCACTTCTCTTTCCATGCCATGTTCCACTGCCTGGTTTGTCCTTTGTAAGACCCACCTGGAAATGCCACATTTCTCATGAAAAGATTTCTGATCCGTCCAATGGTCTGAGCTCTGAAGCCCTTGTCTCTCCATAGCCCTTTGTATTTCTCTTAGAGTCCTGAAGATATTCTGTTACGTACTGCTATTGTTTACTTTTCTATAAAGATGACTTCTCTAACGAAATAAAACCAGCTCCTCCAGGCCTGGCAGTGCAGGAAGAATGTCCCCCTGGGAGGAGCAGCTGGACCCCTCTCCTGACTTCTTCCTTGGAACTATTCCACCTGCCAACCCTTGTCTGGCTGGTTCCTGTTTTTCCTGTGCTGCACTGGGGGGCTCTGCCTCTCTCTGCTCACTTATTCCGGCTTACACTCCAGCACAGCACTCAACTTCCATTTTTGTCACGAGCTGAGACAAGCCTGGAACTTGCAAACCCCAATTGACTGAAGGCTCATGTGAATATTCACACATGGATCAACATACAACTGCACAGCATATCTTACATGACATTGTTTTTTGTCCTTGACTTTCTCCCTTTAGGGTCTTTTTCTTCCCAGCTCCTATCCCATCATCATTTTTGCCAACAACTTTTTCTTGAACATCCATGATTGGCCAGACATTCTTCTGGGTGCTGGAGAGGCAACTGGGAACAAAGTGTCCATCTTTTTTAAAAGTCTCAGATCAAGACAGTAAGATCCAGAGAGGTGGAGACAGGAGTTTTTTCTCTCATTTGTTATATTCATCAAACATAGATGGTGAGCTGCATGCTATTTTAGACAAGATCAGGTGCATTCAGGGTGGCATGGCTGTAGACAGCACACTATTTGAGAAGCTGGGTCTGTTGCCAGACAAGAGACTTATGCAATCTCTGCGTTCATGAATCTTATAGTCCAAAATAAATAGGCAATAATCCTGAAACAACAAAAAAACAATTTTTCAGAAGTACCATGAAGACAGACAAAGCCATAGAGTTAAGAGTAGAGTGTATGCATGTATGGGTGGTTGGGGTGATGAGGGGGTATTGCTCTAGGATGGGAGGGGGTCAGAGGGGACACTCTAGGGCACAGCACTTGAGACCTGTATCAAATTGGAGCTGAGACCTGGATGATGAGGACAGTCATAAGAAGGTCTAGAAGAAACATCCACATGTCTGTAGTTCCAGCTACTTGGAAGGCGGAAGATTGCCTGAGACCAACAGGTGGAGGTTACAGTGGCCAAGAGCGTGTCACTGCACTCCAGCCTGGGTGACAGAGTGAGACTCCAACTTAAAAAAAGAAAAAGAAAAAGAAATACATCTCAGGCAGTAGGAATAGCCACTGGAAGAGAGGATGGTCTATGGAGCCCAGTGACTGAGGGGGTCCCACTTCTGAATGATGTACATTGAAAACCGTCACTCAGAGGGTTTTACCTGATGACTTGGTTCTGTTTTCTGTCCTAAATAGGTAAATTAGATAAGAATTTAAGGCATAGAACTGGGACTGGGAAAACATGGAAGTATAATTGCCTTAATGTATTATTTTTAGATGCAAGGTTCTTGAAGGCAGGACTGTTATTCAACTTTTACTCCCACTGCCTTCCCCAAATTTTCTCATTCTTCTTTCCCTGCCTAACACGTATTTGCTGAGCTGAACTCAATTGAATAGAGGCAAGCTGAAGTAGTGTTACATCAAATGTCTCCTGCCAAATGCATTTGTTTTACTATATAAATTTATAGAGTAAAAACATGATCATATTCCTAAAACACGAATTTATTTTATTTTAGCCTTTGCTTATTTTCCCTGAATTCATTTCAACTGCTTTCAACTAAGACATTCCTTAAAATTGTAATATGAAGAGATGACTAACAAATATAATAAGGAATAAGAATTAGTCAGCTCTTTGAGGGCAGAAACAGTATTTTATATATTTTTGCATCACCCATAGTCACAAGGCTCAAACAAAACCAAAATTAGCATTTTGGGATATGTTTTTCCAGTGTCTTTTGTTCTATGTCCAGGGCATAGAATATTCCTGTGTGATTACATCTTTATAATCATATAACATTTTTATTTTTTCTATTTAATTAAAATAAATAAATTATGTTATGAGAGGAATTAATCCCTTTTTATGCTGTTTTATATCATATTTCACAACTAACACATCAGACCAACATGCACACTAAGGTTGTAATAACTAATGGGCACACATGTTCATATGTTCCCTTGCAGTATCCAATTTCACTTTGAATGTTTCTGCTAATAGTGGTGCTACATCTTCCCCTGCCCCAAAGGGGAAAAAAAGGAAGAAAAAAAGTGTTCACTTCACACAACTGATGCTATTCCTGTGGAGAATGTTTTGAAGTCTGCTTGACTTCACAGGTGGGAAGTGTTGTGAGCCCACCTCGAAGTTCTCCTCCCCTAGGCTATTAATTTATGACTTGGACAGATGGGGGTATAGACATTATCAATATGACTACTGGGGACTAATTTTATTCTTTACTTGTGATTTGATATTGGGAGTCCGAGCAGGCACTCTTTTGCATTTCGTGTGTGCGGTCACAGACTCTGCCCCTTGGAACTACCCACTGTCCTCATTAGTTTCTTCCTGCAGGGGTTCAGTGGAACCTTTTCTCTATAATTTGTGCTTCAATACTTACAGCTGCTGAAGGGGCTTCTTTTTACTAGCAGATTTCTCTCTTTCTTGATCCTATCAACCACTTCCGTATATAGCAGTTTACTGAGTCTCATTCTTGTCTCTTGGGAAAAATTTTTACAAAAAAAACCTCTTTTTTTAACTTTTTCTAATTTATTAAGTAAAGTGCTAGGTCAGATATCTTAATTTTCAAAGACATTACAGAAACAACTCTTTTCTTAGAACTCATTTCCCTTTTTCCACCTCATGCCTTTTGTAACTGAGAATTTCCATTTCAGCTTCAGAGAAACGGTTTTAAGCCTTTTTCTTTCCTAGCCTACACTGTAAAGATTTTCCTCTTTCTAATCTGATGGTGTACTTTCTTATGAAATTCCAGGGGCTGTTTTAGAGGTGACTTTGGAATCACAGAGTATGGAGACCCCATGGCAGATGCTCCATTGTTTAGAGGTCACATGCAGTGGCAGCCTGGTCACATCCGGGACTGCCTCGGCCAGCTCTCCAGGGGGACAAGATGACCATCGAAGCAAAGTTTGTTCCCTATGTCACCCACAGATCCTCCTCATCCTCTCCTTTCCCTTTATCCCCTGTCTTCAGCCTACAATTTTGAAATGGTTTATTTGAGGCATGAGCCTGGCTGTTTCCTCGCGTGCTGGCTTCTGGAATAAAGTTACCTTCCTTCCACTATATAACGTGCTTGTTTATTTCGGCCGGCAAGTGACAAGCAGCAGACTTTGTAATTGGCAATACTTGATGATTGTTTCTTAAATTGAGTTCCTAAAAACATGCCACTTAAGAAATTATTTTGTGTCCTGGCACATGGGCCCTATGCAATTCAATGGCCATTTTCACTTGTTTCTCCCCAGTCATGGCTCCATGCCCCCACAGGTGAGGATCGTCCCACAAAGCAGAAGTACACACAGCAACTACTTTCCTTCTCCTGCTCTCCTGCTCACATTCTCACCTTCTTCCACTTTCCTAAGTCTTCTTCCTTTCATTCCTCTTTCTCCCCACCCACCTGCCCCTAAATGCATCCAGAAGATCACTGGCAATGGGATTGTGGATTGCAGAAGTTATTGTCCCTCCAGTGTCTGGAGCCTGAAGGCATTTGAGAGGGGTGATCTCCTTTGTCACCTTAGCAACTTGGAAACCATGAGTATGGCTGTAAGCGTGTGCCTTTTACCCCGCAGATTTCCAGGTGTAGCCACTTGGATGACCTGTGTGAAACCTGAACAGGATCAATTAAAGTTGCTTAGGTGTGGTGATGAATGCTTTAAAAATATGGACAGATGCGGGTGTAGACATGATCGATATCACCACTGGGGACTCATTTTATTCTTTACTTGTGCTTCAGGGTTTCCAGGTGTTTTTCTGGCTTTTCTTCCTTGAGGGAAGTAGTTTAAAACTGCCCCTGGATATCTGCCCACGGAAAAGCAAACAGCTTTCTTTGACCACAAATGATCACCTACCAACAACTCCTCCACCCTGTTTTTCAATTTTTGAACTCTGGAGTAAATTCTTGCCTTATAAAATTAAGATCAAGATAACTCTGGCAAGGAGCCAAGCCCTGCAAACCAGTTCTTTTACTGGGCAATGAAGAGTGATTGCATAAATGCTATATAAATATTTCAAGTATCCATGTTGTCAGTCCTGGTAACTATTGCTGAGCTGTAAACAGAGCGGGAGTGTCTGGATAGTGCAGGGAAAGCCAGGAAGTATTCGACTGGACAGAAATGAGGACAGAATAGAAGCGGACAGAGCCCATGCTCAGCAAAGCCAACAGTTGCTGCTTTTCCATTTTTGTTATTCCACATCTATACTGAGTATGCAACACATTTTTATTGAATTACATATTTTGAAGGAAGTGCAAATAATCAAAAAGAGATTTGTGATTACCTCTGTAGCAAGTTCAGTATGTACTTTTGGATTCGGAGGCATTGGCAAGGAATACCCCCAAGCAATCTCGTGCTGTCCTGTGGCAGTTGTTCTTGCTTTAAAACATTCTAGAGCAAATTTCCTGGTAATATGACCCACAACCAAAACCAACATGTTAATCCTCTCCAGATCAGCGAACTTCAGATTTTATTTTTTCATTGTGGTTTGATATATAAATATACGAGAAGTTAAATGACAATGTAAAATGAGTATTTGAATACATTTGTATCTCTATTTAGAAGGCAGCTTCTAGAATCATGCATAACACCTGGAAAGCTCTTTGCCTGCACTAGGTATTCAGTAATTACCCTTGGGAGGAGGGGCTGAACAAAGAATATTGAGACACAAACAGGGATATCCTAATTCTGACACCTACGATGGCAGAAAGATGAGAAGCTTTCTGCACAGGGGTTGTATAGAGAAACTTTATGTGGGTGGCAGAAACTTGTCTTCTTTTTAGGATAAACACAGCACTATTTCTCTTCCAGTAATAAAATGATTGGTTAAAAGAGGAAAAAGAAAAACCTTTTGTAATATTTTTCTGTCTCCATTCAGCCCTTTTCGGTTTTTTTTTTTTTTGAGTTGGAGTCTCACTCTGTCGCCCAGACTGGAGTGCAGTGGCCGCTCCCGGCCACCGCAGCCTCGACCTGCTGGGCTCCGGCGATCCTTCCGCTCAGCCTTCCAAGTAGCTGGAACTACAGGCGTACGCTACCACACCTGGCTGATTTTTGATTTATTGTAGAGATGAAGTCTCGTCAATTTGCCCAGGTGGGTCTCGAACCCGTGGGCTCAGGCAATCCACTCACCTCAGCCTCCCAAAGACGCGGGATTACAGGCTGAGCCACCGAGTTAAGTGTGACCTCCAAATCATTGAAGTCACGCATGTCATAATAGATATGCCAGTGATCCCATAACAAACCCCAACCCGTGAGTCCCTAGTTCCCACCTTTCTCTTGAATAATATGTAGTAGATTGGCTATTTTAAATTGAGGACATCAGATACAAGTCCCTACTAAGGGCAGTGGGCCACCAGGCATTTTCCT